AAATCCATTTATAATCATGAATCCAAGATTATGATTTTCGTTCATAGAATCCCTTAACGTATTGTCGTCACCTTCTTGGGACCTTCTCTTTTGGGCTTTCACATTACAATTCTATCAAGGAGAGATTTCCACACTCTTCTTTGAATCTGAAAAAAAAAATAAATGGAATTTGATGTTTCAAACTGCTGTTTTGGGTGGTGGGGTGAGAGGGAAGAGATATGGGATGATTGAGTGTAGTAGAGATAGCAGTGGGTGGGAGGGAGTGTGCTTAGTGCCTCAACTCTCAATTGGATACCCATCAGGACAACCACTGGGAGTCCAGAAGGTTTTGGAAAGATATGGATTCATCTGCTTTTTGTGTTCTTGATGCTTCTCATCATCCTCTGGCTGCTCCAAGTTGGCACCTTTTTTGTTTGGGGATGGAAGTCTAGAATCCTCAACTTGTAAAGCTAACTAAAGTCAATATGAACATTCTGTTTATCTTTGTAACTTGGTGAGAAGATGCTGCTTTTTGTGTTCTCCAAGACCACCTAATACAGACAGATTTCATTCTTTATTCTTTTTTATCTGAGATTGTGTCATCATGTTTACGTGAGATCTTACATTTCTTATAAGAGCAAGAAAATCTCTCTCTAGAAAACGTGTTTTAAAATCGTGAGGCTGACGGCGATATGTAACGAGTCAAAACGGACAATATTTGTTATCTGTGAGCTTGGGTTGTTACAGCTAGACATCGGATAGTGTGCCAGCGATTATGCTAGTCCTAAGGGGAGTGGAGTATGAAACTCCACATTAGTTGGAGAGGCGAACGAAACATTCTTTATATAGACGTGGAAATCTCCCCTAACAGACGCGTTTTAAAACTGTGAAACTGATGGCGATACATAACAGACCAAAGCGAACAATATCATTTTGATACCATTCATGAAGTTTAGAACCAACTCTTAGCAACCATATATATTTATTTGCGGTGTTGAAACAAGTCAGTGTTTTGAAATCAATGAGGGCGTCGCTCAGTAATCGACGCTTCATATATCGACTTACTTCAAGGCCCATCTCATTCCATGGCTATCACATGGGAACCAGACATGTCTGATGTGAGGCTCCTACTCATGAAATCAGCTGGTGGAGAAAGTATTGGGAGAGTGATTGTGTCACTATTAAGCATGAGAAGAACAGTGTCCATAGTTGGCCTATCAGCTGAATCTTCTTGAGCACAAAGCAACCCAATATGGATACATTTCTTCATTTCACTAACTGACCCACTTCTAAAAATGGGATCTACAGCATCCAAGGCCGTTCCTGCCCTCCAGTTCTTCCATGCCTACACCAATTCGTTGCAATCAGCATTAGGTTTTTGATCAATGAAACCAAGTGTTGTAATTTCACAATATGTTTATACTCACGTAGCTTATAAGATCATGTATGTTATCTTCGGGACGGAAAGAGCTGTTTTTCTGGCCACTCACAATCTCCAAGACTAACACACCGAAGCTAAACACGTCCAACTTATTTGAAAACTTTCCATACATTGCATACTTCAGAGCCATGTATCTCCTAAATTAGAGAGTGAGAGTGAAGTTAATAACACTGAACGAATAATATACTAATGAGTTTTTTTCGTGTATTTGTACTTACCGAGTTCCAACAATTCTACTTGTATCTCCTCGTGTTTGATCGGGTAGAAACAACCTTGCCATACCAAAATCTGAAATTTTTGGATTCATTTCTGCCATCTAACAAAATATTAGCAGGTTTGAGATCTCGATAAACGATTTTAATTTGAGAATCTTCGTGAAGATAAACAAGACCCCTAGCAACGCCTCCAATAATCTTGTAACGCGCATTCCAGTCCAAATCTTGACTTCTTAACGGATCTAAACGTTAAAACAACGGGTTTTATTAGGCAGGACACAATGTACTAATGACTCGAGATACTCGAACTAAACAAAGACATGAAGTATGCAAAGATTGAAGAAATGAAACGTTACCAAATATGAATTTATCAAGACTTGAGTTCTGCACAAACTCAAACACTAAAAGCCTTTCGTGTTCGTGGAGACAGAAACCGAGAAGCCGAACTAAATTCCGGTGCTGAAGTTCAGCCACTAACAGGACTTCGTTCTTGAACTCACTTTGTCCTTGCATGGAGTTCTGGGAGAGCCTTTTCACTGCTATATCTTGCCCATTGACAAGGCTTCCCTGTCAAACGATTTTGTCCCGACACCATAACAACTCAAGCTCACCACTAGCAAATATTATCCTCTTTGTGCTTTTCCTTTTGAGCTTTCTCTCAAGGTTTTCAAAACGCGTCTGCTAAGGTATAAACAATGTTTCTTTTCCCCTCCAACCGATATAGGATTTCACAATCTACTCTTTTCAGGGTCTAGAGTTTACGCTGGCACTCATTCTTCTCTCCAATCGATGTGGAATCTCACATACACTACGAAAACCAATCATTTTAATCCAATGCAAAAGCTAAACTTCTTCACAAACCTTGGAAACAGCTCCAAATCCACCTTGTCCAATAGTATTTGCTTCTGAAAAGTTATCTGTTGCAGTTCTTATAGTACTGATATCAAACACCAAAGTTTCCAGATCTGCAGTGTCATCCACTTCTAAACCTGAAGAACAAGTGAATGTGTAAGTAGAACTCATTTCCAAGTTCTTACTTCAAAAAACACCACAAGAATTGAACTGTTTGCCCTATTGGAATGGATTCCTACTTGCAATTCCATTAACCCTTTGTTTTCTTGCTCTTAGAAATATGAAGATGCTGACAATTAATGCCACAAATACAAGAACCACAGCCATCGGAAGAACTATTATGATGACAGTCTTTAATCTCTTGGACTCATTTCCTGCAGAGCTAAATGAATGTAAGGCTTAACCATTGATAAAAACAGACTAAAAAGTATGCAAAAAGAAAAGAACCTGCTGCATTGGTGGTTGTATTTGGTGAAAGGGAGGGAGGTGATGGCGGTGTCGGCGGCGGCGGGGGCGACTGGGAAACTCTTGAAACGGCTTTAGAGCCAAAGAAACTGACAATCTCATACCTAAGAAAACAATAGGGTCTAATAATTCTGGCTCCAATCTTCCCTGGACACCATGTTTGAACAACGCCAGCAACAACTTGCAAGCAATCAAGGCACTGTGCCTGTGAAATATCCGGCGTCCACTGCACCATCCCATAAACATTCAAATAATCCTCATTCACAGTGATGACATTCCCAGCAGAAAATTTGAGCTTAGAATCCCCTGAAGCAGCCTCCTTTGCGAGGTCCACCAGCAGCCCCTGCACCACCAGGCTGAACCCTTGCAGGTCCACCGCGTCTTGAATATTCCACATCTAAAAAGAAGGTGTATCCCGCAAAACCCCAACAATCCGTCGATCCGAATAGCGAAACATGCAATTGGGGTACCAAATTACAGCTTCCTTTTGATTGGGACATTGTTCGGGAAGGTCCAAAACAGAGTCGCTGATGCAACTGCGACAGAGCTCTGGGGTAAGGTCTCCTCTGCAGAGGGCGATGGCATTGACTCGGTCGGGGCTTTGTCCATAGGAGGTGTTGAGGAAGCCTTGGTCGAGGCGGTTGTCGGTCGGGAGGGAAGAGAGGATGTGGTGGAGATTGGCTCTGTAGGTGCTGTTGGCTGTGTAATTGCCATTGTCGCTTGAACAACTGATACTTGGCTGAGCAGCTGCAGGGCTGATGATGATGATGATGATGGAAAAGAGAAGGGTTGAATGGAACATGGCTGCCGTGCCGCCATTAGTGAAGGATATGATCGGATTATATAACGAGAAAAACTGAAACTTTGACTCTTGACCATTGATGATTTCTTGATGATAATTTTGGTCAATTTAAATACCCATTAGTCTATTTTAAGAACATTTTTCTGTATTTAAAGAATGTTGGAAATAGAACAGAACACGATTTCTCTTTGGTCAAACTATGTTTTTTATTCCAATCATATAATTTTTTAACATAATATTATATTGTCTTGGTTGGAATATTATGAAAAAAAAATGGATTAAATGTTGAATCGAAACATTATACCTGGTAATTTTTTGCATTTTGGTCACTAAGAAGGTAGTTTTTGGTCTTATTTGTAGTCGTTATCGATTTATTGTTGATATTTATTTGGGGCTTAGAAGTTGTTATTGTTGATAGATTGCTCTATTGAGAGGTTGTAAACGCTAACAATGAGATGAAATCCACAATGGATGAACAATCAACTTCGAATAGAAATACCTACGTTGATTGTAACCTTTAGAAACTGAACCCACGCTACAAGTTCATATACCCTACCCGTAATACTTGAAATTTATAAACACCAATTGTCGAGATTTCAACTGATTTTAAGTGAAATTCATGTAAAGCTCAAACAACCTATAATTTTAGTCGAGATCTAGAACTTCAACCAACCTGAGTCGTTTATCTATTGTAGGTCTCTCATGGAGAGGTGTCATATATGTGTGTGGAGTTGAGATGTCTACACGGCGGCAGAACAATGACATAGAAACTTTCTCCATCCCCATCTCTACAAATTCTCCATTTATTATTGTAATAATCAGAGGAGAGATTCATTATCGAAAATTTATATAGATTAGTTTTTCTATGAAATTTTTTTTCAGTTTATTATTTTTCTAAAATATAGTTATTTTAAAATGAATAATTTTTATTTAAAAAATTGTAAAAAAATGTAATATATTAATAATATTCATAAGAATATATATATATATAATGTAATGTTCTATCATATAATATAATTTCTAAAAAAATATATTTTTTAATATTACAACATAAATTTTAATAATTAAATATTATAATTAGAGTTTCAAATTATATATATATATATAATAGATACATTAAAGTATTCGAAAATATATTTATATTAAATAAGCATTCCATGAACGTATTGGGTGTCAACAAAATATATATATATATATATATATATATAGAGAGAGAGAGAGAGAGGATAAACAAAAATAAATATGGCTAAACTTATATATTAAACATAAAAATAAATACAAACTACCCGCTAAATTAAGTATTACAAGTAATTGAGTCTAATAAAATCTCTCCCACAATAATTTTATTTATTTTAAGGCTACACGTCAAAAATTACACACTCCGCAGAATAAAGCCTGCAACAACTATGCCCATCACCATAGCCACCGTCGCTCTCCCTTTTCCTGTCCCAACAAAAAAAAAAAAAAAAAAAAAAAAAAAAAAAAAAAAAAAAAAAAAAAAAAA